CCCCCGGGGAGCTGCAAGAGCGGTGCACAGCCTGCCATAGCAGTCAATGGCTGTATGCTTATGAGCAGCCGTGTATGTGCGCAGGCATAAAACAGAAAACCTGCGTCCAGGGATTTACATATGCAGTTGTATGCAATTATTGGTGTATACATCCACTGACTTTTATGAGAGTCTGTATGCAGCACCTGCGGCTCCCTGGGGACTGTTCCTCCAGCCCCCGGTCTGCATGGAGGTGCGGATCTTCGGTTGCAGGACTTGAGGAAATAAACATTGGTGACACCACAACACTTGTGCTCCATTGAGATCTATGATTCCATCTGCCACTGTAGCAGATGGGACTTGTAGTGTCTACATTGAGACACAGGCACACACAACACCACTGCATTAAAGAAAAAGAACAGCGGGTTGCAGGTAATAAATACCTGGAAGTGATACACATACGCAATACGCAGCATACATGTGCTTACCATGAAAATAATACGTTACATGAACAAGAGCTGCCCATGTGGCTACACTGTTGTATGACATCATATCACATTTAGAATGTTCATGTCTTTGTAGGGTTCAACTCGCTGGTTGGCGGCATCATGGGGTTCTCCATTTTGATCAGCGCCGAGGTTTACAAGCACCACGACACCGTCTGGTATCTGGATGGGACTGTCGGGATTCTGATCGGACTGATCATCATGAGCTATGGAATAAAGTGAGTGAAGTCATTGAAACTGACTTATTAAAAAATTGGAGCCAAGGGGGGCCAGGGTCTAGGAACATTTATGTGAATGCAGTTAATAGGGTGTGGTTTAGACAGACCAATAGCAAGGCTTTAAATGAACCTGTCGGGCATTTTAGGAATTTGAAACTTGAGCCTCATCTGTGTGCCTCTCTGATCTGGTTTCACTTTCTTACTAAAAGCTTGATTTATCTGACTTACCATTAGCCATACCAGCTATGCCCCCATTGTCTGCCCAATAAGAGCACCCTGACTGGTCACTAAGCGTGTGGGAGGGATTTACTACTGGGGGTGTGGTTTAGGTCAAAAGGTTTGGGTAGTCAAGCACTTAGCCAAGCTGAGCCAACCCATAAAGTTTTGCTGGACAGCTTGGCCTGCTAAAGAAAGTGGAAACATAACAGATCTTCTGGCAGCATCAGCAGGTAATAAAACAATGTTACTGAGGGGACTCAGGAGAACAAAGGGACTTTCCTGTATTAGGAATAGCAAGCCAGGCTTATTGTAACTGCCAATAACAAAGGAAGAACTGGTCACCGACTCTCCTGATCCAGTCATATTATAATAGGAAATCCCTTTCTTCAGTCCATTCAGGTCCTGACTATCTCTGAAGACTAGTATAGAAAAGTCCTTTCCTCAGTCCATTCAGTACCTGGCTTTATCTGAAGACTAGTATAGAAAAGTCCTTTCCTCAGTCCATTCAGGTCCTGACTATCTCTGAAGACTAGTGTAGAAAAGTCCTTTCCTCAGTCCATTCAGTACCTGGCTTTATCTGAAGACTAGTATAGAAAAGTCCTTTCCTCAGTCCATTCAGTACCTGGCTTTATCTGAAGACTAGTATAGAAAAGTCCTTTCCTCAGTCCATTCAGTACCTGGCTTTATCTGAAGACTAGTATAGAAAAGTCCTTTCCTCAGTCCATTCAGTACCTGGCTTTATCTGAAGACTAGTATAGAAAAGTCCTTTCCTCAGTCCATTCAGGACCTGACTATCTCTGAAGACTAGTATAGAAAAGTCCTTTCCTCAGTCCATTCAGGTCCTGACTATCTCTGAAGACTAGTATAGAAAAGTCCTTTCCTCAGTCCATTCAGGACCTGACTATCTCTGAAGACTAGTATAGAAAAGTCCTTTCCTCAGTCCATTCAGTACCTGGCTTTATCTGAAGACTAGTATAGAAAAGTCCTTTCCTCAGTCCATTCAGTACCTGGCTTTATCTGAAGACTAGTATAGAAAAGTCC